TATACTAAAGGGCTACTTGGACGAAAATTGCGAAACATTAGAGAAGACTTGGAAATCAAATAGACCTATCCATATGGGTATAATAATTATGAAGCAACAGGTTTCAAGAAGATATTGATACAAATCCTTAATAATTTTGACAAAAAAATGTTGGAGTAGATGACGTCATTTACTCCATCTTTTTGTTCTTCAAGCTTTTGAATCAAAATTTCTCTGATGTGGGACAATTCCAAAACAAACATTTTCCAGCAATTGTTTTAAATAGATATAAATGAGTCATAGATTTGCATTGGCTGTAGTTTTGAAATAAAGCAATTTTCATGCATGAAAAAAATAACAGCAATTTTTCATCATTTTTTAAAAAATTAGGTGGTGGATGTGGTGGAAGAAGTGGCATAGTTTGTCTTAATGGTGGGACGCAGTTCTGCTACAACAAATTTCCTACTTGCCGCTGTCGTCTTGGCTTTTCGGGAAAAAATTGTCAAACCGGTAGGATTTCCATATTTCTGTAATTGCCTTTTAAAAACCTGTTTAAATAGAATCGCAAGCTGATAGTCGAGTTTGATGGCAATAATCCACAAATTCCTTATATTTGTCTGATATCTTCTTTTCTTTACTTTAACTTTTTACATCTGGTCTTGCTGTGGTACTTTAACAGAAAATAACATACCATATACCTCTTGAGGCATGAAATTTTTTGCGGCGTTTGACTCGCTGTTAGACCTTTACAAACTCGTCACCAAATAGGCAGCCTTGACCTGGTGCCCTTTTTGTAGTCCTCAATTAGATAACGTCTTTTTTCTCTATATTTTAAGGTCCCACTAACACTGTAAACCGACCATCGCGTAAGTATTTCATCAAAATTATTGCATGGCGAAGAATGCCTGGACATATTGGCCGACGCTGCCTAATTCACATACGGCGATGATCACTCAGGCGCGCGGAAAATGTGAAAACATTGGGTTTCTCAACAAAGAAAAAAAAATAGGGCGATTCTGTGTCAGCCGCGCTGATAAAAAGTTCGTTTTCGGTCACTTGTACTTTAAAAACATACGGCTTGAAACTGAAAGTAATAATGCAATGCATTGTAATTTTGGAAAACAAGTGATTAAAATCAGGGAATATTTTAACCCCCTTTCCCCCTTTTCCCCGAAGTAGAAGTGTAGAATAGAGAAACGTGTATGTTAAGGGTGTGGCGTAACTCAGAAGATGTTTTTTTCGTGCGGGCAGATATCAAAAACACATGCTATACAACATCTCCACAACAACTGTCCAACAAGAACTTGAAAGGGGGTTCGAAACAAAAGCTAACCGGCTATTTTCTTCTATTTTTTAGATGCCAATGTTTCTCTCCAATGTTACGCATGCTCATCGAGCATGAAAAATTGTCAGGGAGTTTCACGTCAGTGTGTCTGGCCTAACACCCGATGTGCTAAAATACACCTCGGAAAAGCAATAATCAAGGGTTGTACGTCACCAACAGTTTGCACCAATTATTGTTCGCGGCTTCGAAATTGCAAGATAAGCTGCTGTATGGGACGCCTTTGCAATGATAGTTGTGTAACGAGGTCTTTTGGTGTGATGACTGGACTTTGTATGATTGCAAATGGACTATTTAAAATGTTAACAAATATTTGATAGAGTCGATGTTTAGCCTCTATATTTTAAACCAANAGTTTGTAATCCATTACTTGTGTTATCAATTTTTCAAAGGTAAGAATTACTTTACTCCCATAGTTCATCATTGTTTTTAAATTTTCGTAGAGAACATTGAAATCATGGTCAACGAGTTTGTAATCCCTTTCTATGTCGGACGCCATTACATTGAGCTCGATGCTCTTGTACATCACATGAACCATCATTAACACAAGATTGCTCTTTCCGTACTTTATGAGAAATTCGGCGACATTCTCAGGAACTGAGAAAGCTCCTTTCCACTCGCTGTCCTTCAGAGCTTTATAAACAAGTTGTACACAATCAAAAAGATCTAAGATGAACTTTGGGTCTTTGA